AGAGCAAGTTATTGTCTTTTCTTGGAAATGTTGTGCACTGATGAATCATTCGCAAAAAGAACAGGAGAATCCATTAAGAAAGTAAATTTAGTTGGGTGGATAATTACTTGTGGATGTATTTTTTTTTGGATTACCATCATCTAGAGCACACTTAAATGCAATTTTTAAAAACACTAAAAGATTTAATAACGCTGTTGAATATAATATTGCAAATTTAAAAATAATATGCATTTTTAACTTTATATTATTAAGATGCATTATAATGTTGAATTCGCTAGTAGCATTTAAGACAATTGATAGTTTTTAGTAATTTATTTGTATTTATTCATACAAAATAGTCAATTAAATTGAATTATTAATAATAGAAATAATAATAAAATAATAAAATATTATAAAAAAGTTATATTGTTTTATTATTCAATGAGCAATTTGAATATTTATTTATTTATTTTGTTATTATTATTATTTTACTTATTTATTTATTGACAAAGTAGAAGGATTTTATTATCGGCCATTTATCGCTTATCGGCTATAAAAATAATTATCGGTGTGTCAACTAGAATTTTAATCTGTTCCATCTCTATGGTATTTATCAAAAGTACAGTGGTATTGCCATCTGATGCTGTCATTATTCCATGGTGCCGCCACAGTAGCTTTTGTAATGGCAGACATACACATAAACATTTTTCTGGCATATGCGTTCAGCTCTCCATTCTTCAGTACTCTTTCTTTTAGCGGGTGGTCTCAAGTGTTGGATAACCAGCGACTGGCACAACTCCAGCTTCAATCTGTGCTGCAATGGAGCGGTGACCCAGGGTGAGGAGAGCGTTCTAAATGAGGTCTCGCTCTAATTTGTCATCCCTCCATTTTTGTATTATGTTTAGCAGGCACCATGTGGACAGATGATCTGGAAGAGAGGGAATGTGCGGTGGTGTTCCGTGGGTTCACATCTGGGAACGATTGCGTTCACATACGCACATTGTTCATGTGGAATTGTTCTCGCAAAACTGACGTCCACGTTCTCGTTTCAGTTTCTCCAAATATTCTCACGATTCCGTAATTTCGTCCCAGTGACATTTCGTCCTGTACGTGATGCTCGATTGGACAGATGCAAGAAGTTATTGATTGTTTGGGTGAAGTAATGAAACATGATGATGTTCACAGTTTCTTTCCATTTCTATAGCAGAATTCCGCATGGTTTGAAACCTACAAACCTGAATAGTTCGGTGAACCATATTTCTTTTTGCTGAACACATTGGTTTTGCTGGATAAGATAGTGGAGAACCAGGTTCTTGCTAGTTGGGCCGGTCAATTATTGTAGTTTTTCTAGTTTAAAACGGCCTATAATTCTATTCTAGCTGTGGTTAGGCAGTCTAGTGTGGACAAACCAGCATCCAAAAACACAATATATGCTAGTCTTTTCAGCATGATAATGTTCAGTAAGCTTCTAAACATGTGGCTCTGTGTATCCATTCAATTTTGCAACACCTTGAAGCCCCTAATACTTATGTCAGAGTCCTTTTTGTGGACTATAAATCGGCATTTAATACAACATCCAGCCAGACACCTCTTTACGCCTCTTCCTTCAGGCAAACGCCTCAGAGCAATTAAAACTAAGTCTACACGTTTTTTGAACAGCACTTATTGTAGGATTGTTCATGCTCTTAATTCCTCTGGTGTCTATGCATCTGTATTTCACTATATATAATTGATAGGACATAGATAGTTGTGTATGTGTATGTATTTATATATTGTATGTATTTTAATGTTTGTTATTATTGTTGATGAGCTCACCAAGAAAAATTCCAAACAACTAGGGTGTTTGGCAATAAATAAATAAATAAATAAATAAATGTAGATATGGTGATTATAATACACATTTATGCTTATTTAACTGCTGTATTTCGATCATTCCCCATGGTTTCTCTTCAAGGGTATGTAGATTCCCGGTGGAAAAGGCCCACAATCCTGTTCTTGACAAATCTTCCCTCGTCTTTGCCAGCTCTGGGTTTTTGAAGTGCTTTTTTTAGCAAATCTCCAGTTCCCCAATGGCTCCAGTAGAACACCCCAGAAACCCTCAGTGGTGGCTCAGCAAAATCCATTTCATTTCCGCCCAGCAGAGCTCGTACTATCATCCCTCTGTAGCCGGCGTGTGGTATTAAATATTCATTTCATTAATGTCGGAGGCATATCAACGCAAATCTCATTTTTAATTTGACATTGCCACATCTGTTTCGAATTTCTGTGAAGCATAAAGTTCTGCAAATTCTGGAAACTGAACAGCCACGTTTGGGTTGCCACGTTTAGTACAGTGTGAGGATTTGGATGACAGTGAAGAAGCTGAGCAGAGTTTGAGTCTGAGCATCAGTAGTATTTGGTATGAGATCTAGCTCATTCAAAACTGATTTGGCCTATATTTTATAATTAATAATGTAATTAAAGGTGATTATTTATTTACTGTGTTTATTTATTTAGGATGTACAACCAATGTGATTTGAGCTAAAGAAGCACAATTTAAATAATTTAAAAAAATGTTTTTGGAAACTTCATAAAATTTTTTTTTTTTTTTTAGATTTCTGATTTGGGTCCACAAGTAGAGAAATTTTGAACAATATACTGGTTGCCCGTTTTTCATACAGTTACACTGAATAGTTGCTTTCAAGCTTCAAAAAGGATGCAAAACACCATAAAAGTATCATAAAAGTAATCATGAGTAGTATATGTGTAGTATAATCCAAGTCTTAATGTATATGTTCTTCAAAAATGTATCATTTGTGTTTCACAGACAAAAGAAGGTTATATTACTTATGTTGGGTTAACTGTCTCTTTAAAGTGAAGTGCTTGGCTTCTCTCTCTCTTACCATCACTCTTTCTGTCTCACTTCAGTGGTTTATATCATTTCCAGGACTCTATTCCCATTTTGTAGACACATGTTCAGAACTTGACTTATGTACACACACACACACGCAAACTTTCCCCACAAGGCCCTGTTAGAGAGTGAGCAGGTTATCAAGTTTCTCAGCTCAGGGTGCAAATCAAGCGTGGGCTGGTTTCACACAACTGTGCAAACTCAATCCAAGTTTGTTGATCCGGTGAGAATATCAGAATCCCAGAGCTGATCCACGGACAGCAAACATAGTTCCCATTAGACAGTGACCCTCATCTCTCTCTCCACTGGCCAGTGATCTTCTGCTGGACATGTGTGTCTTTCCTCTGTAGACTGCCTAATTGAAATGAAATCCTTGGCTGGAAGGAATATGCTTGAGAGATTGTTACAGAGAAATGACGGAAAAAGAGAGAGGGAAAGAGGAGAAGAAATTATTTCCATTTCTTTACAACTCTTTTCAGTGGGGTAAAGGGGGACTTTTACCTGCTGTGACATTACAAGCAGTAGAAACTGGAATCATGGCCAGTTAAGTGCTTAAAGTCTTAAAGGAATTGGGAGGCAGTCAGGAGTTCAGGTTACCTTGAGCATCTCACTTTGATCTAGCGCTGAGGTTAATCGTGCCGACAGGAACACATTCAGGGGCGTGAGAGTCGAAAGAAGTTGTGTTTCTGTTGACTTGCACGTACCTGAAATGAAAAGGGGAGAAATACTGGTATCTGCTTAGTTCTGAAATATCTGAAGTCTTGAATGAATTGTGCTACTTGCATGTGAATAAGTAATAATTTAAATTATATATATATATATATATATATACTGCCGTTCAAAAGTTTGGGATCAGAACGATTTTTTATGTTTTTTTTAAGGAGTTTCTTAGGCTCATCAAAGCTGTATTTATGTTATCAAAAATACAGGAAAAAAATGAATAAATGCTGTTCTTTTTAACTTTTTATTCATCAAAGAATACTGGAAAAAGTATCACAGTTTCCAAAAAAATATTTGGCAGCACAACTGTTGCCAACATTGATAATTCTAATAATAAATCTGCATATTAGAATGATTTCTGAAGGATCATGTGACACTTTACACTGGAGTAATGGCTGATGGAAAATCAGCTTTGCATCACAGAAATAAATTATATTTTAAAATACATTACAATAGAAACCATTATTTTATATTGTAATAACATTTTGCAAGATTACTGTTTTTTTTTCTGTATTTTTGATCAAATAAATGCAGCCTTGATGAGCATAAGAGACTTCTTTAAAAAACTTTACAAGTCTTACTGATCCCAAACTTTTGAACGGTAGTGTATATATATCATTTAAATGTAAATAAATAAAGGGAAATCTGAATCTAAATCTATATATATATATATATATATATATATATAATTTAATAAATGTTTATATATTCATATGTATTTGGTTGGTTAATAATTTTATATATTTTAAAGATCCTCTGTATAGATAATTTCCTTTGTAATGAAGTGCACAAAAACATCAGAAATGTGCATTGCAAAAGCAAATATGGTTCATTTTGATTTCACATTGACTAGGTTTTGGAAAACATCTCATTTCAAGTTGCTATGTTTCACCATGTGTGCTTTTCCCATGTCATGTGTATATAATTTAAAGCATTGGACTAATCTAATGTGCTGCTGTACAGTATCTAAATGACACTGAAAGGAATGCTGTCTTGGATTAATGGGAACGCTTTAAGCGAATCCATCAGAAGGCTAACTCTCAAATATACAGCGCGTTCGTGTGAGCAGATATTAGATGTTATTGCGCACTTGAGCAGTGGTTTAGATGAATGTTCGATCTTCACTGCTCACTTGTGTCCCACATTAATATCACTTACACGCAGGAAGAGCACTTTATGTTTCAAACCCTTCTTTGTGCCTCTCTAGCTAATGTAAACAGAAGTTTTAGGTTTAATCTTTGTATGTTTGAAATAGATTAGAGGTGGTTTGTGCTGGGCAAGAGTAGAAAAATGTTCCTCTCGTAGTTTCTAATTTGTTATTCCTCTCTTTTAAACATTAGCATGAGTGATTTCATGATAGAAATGCTGTTCGTGTTTCTAATATCTGTTTTTCTTTCTCTCTTTTTATCAGTTCTTCGAGATGATTTCAGACAGAACCCTGTGGATGTGATGGTGGCGGCGGGCGAGCCAGCGGTCATGGAGTGCCAGCCGCCCCGCGGACACCCAGAACCCACCATCTCCTGGAAGAAAGATGGAGTCACCATAGACGACAGAGATGAGAGGATAACGGTAAGGATATCTGACAAGGTTTCCTGTAACTCTGACTGGTTAGTACTGGTTTGGTGCTCAACTAGCTGGTGCAAGAGCCTTGATTTATACTGGCTGGTTAAAGGGATAGTTCGCCCAAAAATGAAAATTTACTGAAAATTCAGATGAGTTTGTTTCTTAATCAGAACAGATTTGTAGAAATTAAAAACAATATTGCTTGCTCACCAATGGATCCTCTGCAGTGAATGGGTGCCGTCAGAATGAGAGTCCAAACAGCTAATAAAAACATCACAATAATCCACAAGTAATCCACACCACTCCAGTTCATCAATTAAAGTCTAGTGCAAGGTTATTATAGTTTTTGCATTTTTAAATTCGTTTTATTTTAATATCGTTTTCAAATTTGCAATAAAATTTAGTTTCGTTTTTATTAGTTTCCTTAATAATTTTGTTACTTTTAGTTTAGTTTTTATTTTCTGAACACATTTCTCTTTAGTTTTTATATTGTTTAGTTTCAGTTTTAGTTTTAATTTTAGTTTTAGTTGGCTAATTAAAGTTTTAATGAACAGAATTAACAGAAAGACTTTGGCTAATTTAACCTTTAGCGATGCACACGTCTAGGGACACAAAATTAAAGCATACTGAGATTGATTAGATGGTAAAAGTATACAAATACACATCAAAATGAAGCAGTCATGCATTTTTAAATCTACACAAGTTGCACTTACAGTATATTTAAACCGTACTATTGAATGATAAATGTGTGTATAGCTAATTTCTTTGTATTATATGTCTTTCATCTTATTTAACCATAATCATGATACCATAACTGTCCTGTCTTGCTCACTTTCCCGCGAACAAACATGCATAATTCATAAGTGGAACTTATGAAATTCAATAATAATGTTAATTTAACATTCACGCTGCAGCTGAAGTGAATGACAGCTTAGAGAGCGCTCGTTGCTGTTTTCTGTAGCCTATGCATCGGTACAGAATTAAATTAGTGCTGCTGTCAGATAATGGGTCGGGTGTTCTGTTAAGTACTGCTGGTGCATGTTTACCAAACAGGACCCGTGCAGGACTCTGCTTTAAACTGCTTTGCGTCTCTCCGACAGATAACCTCACGTGCATGATGCGCCATTTACGCGTATTTCCGGGTATTTTCCTAAACCGACACACAGCTCATATATTTTTTCGCCATGGGGTGAGAACGTAATGATTACGAAAACGATTATTTATTTTTGATAATTATTATTTTATTTCAGTTAGTTTTGCAGTAACTGTTGTTAGTTTCGTTTCGTTTTAGTTTTTCATTTATTTTGATGTTTTTATTTATGTTTTTTGACCAATAGTTTTCGTCTTAGATTTAGTTTTCGTTTACGAAAATGACCTTGGTCTAGTGTAGTGAAAAGCTGCATGCTTGTAAGAAACAAATCCATCATTAAGACGTTTTAACTTTAACCCTTTGACATGTATGATCATACCGGTGTGATCACTATAGTCATGCCTGTCAACCCTCCCGTTTTCCCCGGGATTCTCCCATATTTTACCATTCTATCCTGCTATCATCCCGTTTAAATATTTTCCCGTATTTCTCCCGTATTTTTAATCTTTCTATTTTAAAAAAAAAAATCCCACTGGGCGTATTTTATATGTTTGCTACATCCGCTTCCGGTAAAACTCCCGTAATTTGTATGGGCCAAACCTCATTATATGAATAATCACGACAACAAATTCCAAGGTTGTCCAGTTGCCAGATCTTGTATGAAACGCATCTTTCTCACACGATCGACGCATACAAATTGTCCCCTCAACTTGGCAACCTACAGCCCAGTGATGCTATTGATATGTGCGCAGGTAGTACCGCGGGAAAGAAACAAGGATCACTGGTAGAAATGGGAGAAGAATCAGGTGGTGCTCCAGTGAAAAAAAAACTAAATATACATGTAAATTGAGATATAGCTTACACTTCAAAAGGCTATTTAATTGATTAAATATGAGCGCTGCAAGTTTCAAAGTCAGGTGCTGCGCTGCTTTGTTTACTGCGGTTACGGGGGAAACGGCTATATTCCTGGGGAAAAGCGCCACCTGCTGGCAGAGAATGAATTTGCATTTTTCAATAAGCCCTTCTGCTCTGTTTAGAGACCAAAGCCAAAACGACCCTTATTTTTATGCAGAAAACACGCAGTTGTAAATGTGAACTGATGGATCGATAAGAAGATAACGAATTATAAAACTCTAAAGATATAGCCTACACTAAGATATATTTATGTTACTAATTGAATATAATTGTTTGATGATAATTGTTTAAATTAGTACTTTTGACTCCACCCCCCATGAATTTAGCTGTTGTTCATCCCACAGCTCGGATTTAGCGCAAACTAACATTGCGGCGCCCGTTATAGATCAACTAGCATGGTCATTATAAAGGTGTTTAAACCACCAAATACGTTTACTTGCACATATTTGAGAATTGGAATATCAGATATTTCATAATATAATTAACACGTTTGTGAATATTTTGAATAAAAAAAGGAAAAATGAAATAAAATGATACATCACTCATTCACAGCTATTGTGGCTGGGGTGTGTCACGTGATAAGCATGCCGCGTCGCCATGGAAACAAGGCAATACACTTTCTATAATAACAGTTGCCTAAAGAAACTCACACTGGTCGGGTCAGCTGGAATATTTTAATCTCACGTGTGAAAAGGTTAAATCAATGCTTCTGGACAAAATACAAGTCAATAATCCAAAATAACACTTCCTCCAATGGAAAAAGTCCACTCACATCAAAATCCACTGACATTTTAGAACTGCTTTAGACTGTTTTTGCTTGTAAACGGTGCTTGATCTGTGCATATTTCTCTCCTGATTCTGACGAGATGTCTTTTTCACTGGAGAAAGTAATCTTATGGATAGATGACTTGTATTTTAGCTGGAAGCAATGGTTTGAAGTTAAAAACTTCTTGATATATTTGTTTCTTACAAACACGTAGCTTTTCACTTCACAAGACTTTAATCGATGGACTGGAGTGGTGTGGATTACTTGTGGATTATTGTGATATTTTTATCAGCTGTTTGGACTCTCATTCTGACGGCACCCATTCGCTGCAGAGGATCCATTGGTGAGCAAGTGATGGAATGCTGAATTTCTCCAAATCTGTGTGATGAAGATCTGATGAAGAAACAAACTCTGGCCTGTGGGTGAACCGTTTAGGTCAGCTGACACGATTTCTGGGACACTAGAAGTTTATCTGCCTAGAACAGTAGTCCCACCACAAAACTGATGATTTAAACAAAATTACTGCTTAAATAACACTTTTTTTGGAAGACTTAGTGTAAGTGCTTTATAAAAAATTATGGACTTCACATTTCAGCTTTGTGCTTGCAAATTAAACCACATCCCTTCCTCATTTCCAATTTAGCATTACTAACAAAGACCTTTAATTGTTAATAAAAAGAGACAGCAAAAAGAAGTTCCCTTATTTAATGCATGTGGATAACAATTGCTTCTGCTGCATTTTTCGAGCAAATGAAGGCCGATCAGGACTTCTGCTGATGAGTGTTTAAACTGCGTCACGTCCAACTCTGTCAGGGAAATTAATGGAGCCCATTCATCTGATTGGAAGGGCATGTGGGAATGAAAGTTTGCCTTCGCCAGCGTTCACAAGCTGAAAACTCGCTCTCTGCTGATTTAATGCAGTCTTTAAACCAGGGTCACCAATTAGGTTTTTCTAATTAAATGTGTGGGAAATTAAGTAACGGGATCAATCAGGCCTCTTTTGTCGTTAAAAGAGTGACTTTGATGTGCACGCCGCTGCTCGTTTTCCATGTGGCTTATTTGTGTAGAATAAAGCTAAAGGTGGTTTGAGGGGGTTTGTTATTTTTAATCAAACCATAGACAGGGTTTCTGAGAATACAAATTTAGTGCTTAGCATGGGCTTTTAAAGGCAATGAAGGAATGTGTTACACATTCCAGCGTTCTGACAACGTGTAACTAAGACATTGGTGGAATGCGATTGTGGTGATTATGATCAAATTGAATCAAACAAGATGACGTTTGTTGTTGTTGTTAGTGCTGCTGGTGTGTGTGTGTGTGGCTTATCTCCAGTCTGCAGTCTACAAACTGTATGGTCATCACACAACACACACACACACACACGCTATACAGTATATATATATATATATATATATATATATATATATAGGAATGTAATATGAATAGGAATGTAATGAACTGATATTCATTGAAACATTGGCTCAACTACAGCTCTGCGTACAATAATGAGCATCAACATTATTCATTTGTTTTGCGTTCCACTGTTATCTCTAAATCAAAGCGCTCCAATTTGGCCATTAATTGCTGTTCAGCAGTAATTGCTGCAGTCTGCTCGAAAATTAACCGGAGCTGACGCTCCGTATTGTTTCGCAGCGTTTTGTTCGGAGTTTGTGTGTGATTATCTGGCCTGCTGAATGACTCCACACGGCGAGCCCCGTTCAGGCACTTCTGCTCAAGCAGCGCTGCCAATCCACACAAGACAAAAGGCATGCGAATAAAGCAACCTCCCAGAGCTCAGATTGATCGCATCCTCAGCAGCCGCCCTCTGTTACCCGAGGACGGAGGGAGCGAGGGAGGGTTCATTGACTCTGGACCGAGAGTGAAACGATCCTGCCGTGATGGAACTCAAAATATGTGTCTGTGTGCTTGGGATGTTTGGGTAGTTGCATTACGAAACCTAGCAAGCTGCCTATCTAGACAACAGTTTTTAGGTTTCATGCCTTATACCACATATATCCTTAGCAGATAAAGCACAATACATTTCAACAAGCAGCTCACTATCTTTTGAAATGGAGCTCATGTTTTTTCCTGAGGCACATTCTCATTGTTCCTTTGGTTTCAGCCTCTTTTTTTACTGTATTTTCACTGCATTCTTCCAAATGCGCGCGCACACACACACACACACACACACACAAACTTACTCCTACATCTGACCTGACCTTGTCTGCTCTGCAAGTCTTGTGCCGTTTCAGCCGTTAAGCTCTCGCTCAAACAAACAGTAACATAATGACACTTCAAAACCCTCTCCAACACCACGGGGTGCCCTAAAAAAACTCGCCCTCCTTCCTTCCCCTCCGACCTCTCCTTTGTTTAAAGACACTTTTCCACCATTAATATGTAGGAGAGGCGACAGGACTGAAGAATGCTTCAGATCGTTCTAGAACGTGTCCGGTTTGGAAGTGTTCAGAGGCGTCCCATATGACCTGGTGAAGGTTTCGTTTGGATGTTTGTTGGCCTATAAATGTAAGTGACTGTAAAAGGAATCAGATGAAACTCTCATTTTACACCTCTGAGAGAGACTGTACACTTTAATGTTCATTGATAGTATATTGATGCTATAGTATATTGAGTATAATAATTGTTTTGTTCGTTCCTTAGTATCTATCTATCCATCCATCGTTTCTTCTTTAGTTACTTTATTAGTTTCCATCCATCCATCATCCATCCCTCCATCCATCCATCCATCGTTTATTCTGTAGTTTCTTTGTTAGTTTCTATCACCCATCCATCCAAACATCTATCTATCCATCCATCCATCCATCCATCTCATTTGTCTGTTCAATCTATCACTTTGTGTTTGTCACTCCTTCTACAAGTTTATCTGTCTGTTCATTCATTTATTGTGAATTTCGAGCTGTGATATGCCGTTTTAGTGCAGACTTGAAGATTGTTTGTGGCATTTGTGCACATGATCTCGTAAGTGCATAATCTGCATCAAATTTTTTTTAATTATGTGATATACAGCGAATGCCTCTGGTCTTTATCACTGAGACTCTGTTTACACATTCCACATGTTAACCACAGTCAGATCCAGCCGCTGGACTCAACACTGACCGCTGTGAATGCTAATCAATGAGACATGACATGATCTGCCATAAAGTGAACCCACATGTTGACCTGTGTAAGTGCAGGCAGGTAGGGGGCCGCAGGAGAGCGGCCAAATTCTGCTTCCCCTCATTGACTCTCGCCGTGTGGTCCCCTGATGCAGGGGTCAGATCTGGGGTGTGTGTGTGTGTGATTTTGATCCACTCGGGTGAATGAGGACCCCCAGCTGCCCTTACAATTGCCTGAGAACAAAAAAGGGCCCTTTTGGCATGAAATCAGATGCCTGGGAAAATATAAGCTCAGCTGAATAGCCACTACACACATTTGATGCAGGGAAGTACGTGTGTGTGGGAACCAACATGATGGGGGAACGGGAGAGCGAGATCGCAGAGTTGACCGTTCTCGGTACGTTTTCGATATATTTCTGCTTTAATATATGTATTTCGATATTCTCAGATACTCCGGCACATGATCTGCCTTCTTTACGACGCACATGTGTTTATATAATCAGGTTCCCACACAAACCTCTGGTGCATTCGATTGTGGAAATGCATGCAGACGGATTCATTTAAACACGCACACGTCGTATGAAGTGTTTGTTTATGGGCAGAGCAGGAGAGAGTCCAGATGTTTAGAGTTTGTGTGCTTAGCTGTAGGAAGACTCCAGCATGTCATTGACCCTGTTTAGGAGACATGGACCCATTATCCTCAGTCTGCCTTGAAACAAATACCAGCTCACACTTCACACACCCCTTCATTCACACATACACACAAAAATATACATTCATCTGTCATCCAACACCTTAACATATCAGTTTACACTACCCAACATCAGAGCTGTGACCTTTGACCTTCCCTCCTTAATCCGTGCAACACAGCCGTCCTCATCTCTATCACTGTCAACCTCATTATTCAATGTCTGCTGGCATATTTACACATTACAGGAGAAAGTCACCAACCATATTAAGTCAAGTTGAGTTTAAGTAAAATGTAATTCCTCTGAAAACAATTACAGAAATCTCAGCTGATTTAAGTTGAAATGTGTCACACAATCAGTCTCAGACTCACACAATGCTTAAAAATAAGAACTGTTTTCTAACAGATTTTGAATACCTTCTGCCATTGGTCATTCAAACAGATAGTCCCGCCCCCAACTCAAGTCATTGGTTGAGCCATTGCTGATATGATAATACATTTCTGAATCTGTATTAAGATGGAAGAAACTTATTTTTAAGTTATTATTTTTATTTTTGGCATTTTTAACCTAAACATATTTAGATCAATTAGTTGCCATGGCAACATTTGTCTTTTTATTTATTTATTTATTTATTTATTTTTTTAAAATTATTTTATTAAGTGTTTAATCAAATTTCTTTTTCATTTATCGAACATTTTTATCAAATAGTTTTAGTTAACAATAACACTGATAGCAGTAGTAGCTAGCCCACATGTTATATGCGAATTAATATAAATGGAAAGTGTAATAAACAACATGGACTAAAAAAAATCATTGGGTACAAGTGATCAATAAACATGAATTAACTGCTGTGATACAGTAAATGTGCCTTTAAAGGCACTGTAGGGCTGTTTCCTCATATCAGTGGGTTAGATGATCTTAATCTTAACAGATTAGCCATATCCTAATATCATAGTTATGTAATCTTAATAAATCAATCAGAGCTTTCTTTAGGATTAGCTGCACGAACCTTTAGGATAAAACAACAAGTCAGAGTTCAAGTTGAAGCAAGAACAAACGGTGAATTGTTTGTTTGAGGAAATCCACTAAAAGTAGCTGTTATGAAGAAGAAAGACAAGAATGAGTAAAAATAGATGGATAGATATAGTTCACTGTAAGTTCATAAGTAGCCAATCAGATGAGAGAAGGGAATATCTCATAGGGAAGACTAGGAAAGTTCTTGGATTACATAATAAGCTGTGTGTTTGTCTGCAGAGAGGCCCAGTTTTTTGCGAAAGCCGAGCAGTCAGTCTGTTCTGGTGGACCAGAGTGTGGAGTTCAGATGTGAGGCTCAAGGGGATCCCGTGCCCACCATCCGCTGGAGGAAAGAGGACGGAGATCTTCCCAAGGGAAGGTATGAGTGATAAAGCATCTGGTTAGTTTATATTAAGAACAATAAAATATGAATGGGAAATGCCCAGAAAGAAGTAATCATTTCTGTTCTTTAGAGTCGGAACCTCTTGCATGTGTATTTGTTTGTGTACCGTCATCTTCTCAGGCATGAGATCTGGGAGGACCACACGCTCAAACTGAAGAGACTGACCTCAGGAGACGCCGGTACTTACACCTGTCAGGCGGAGAACATGATGGGGAAGACGGAGGCCAGCGCCACCCTCACCGTCCACGGTAAGAACACACAAGCACACGCTGTCACTCATCTCACGCTGCTTGACAAACTGCTTTGATCCTGCCAGCACTTATCTATAATTTGAAGTAACGAATGCCCTCAGTGGGCGGGAGATTGTGTGTGTGCTTTGACCAGCTTATTCACAGCTGTTAGTTTTTAGACGAACGTTTGCTGCTTTGACAGCTTGTCAGGTTGCTTTGTCCGACTGGATGCTTGATCATTTTGAATATTCCTTATCATTTTTTCCTAGCTGTTTGGAAAAAAAACATGTAGGGCTATATATATATATTTTTTTTTTTTCAAACAGTTAGGAAAAAATATATTTAAAAAATATATATTTCTGTATCTTGTGAGTGGCACGGGATGATTTCTGTAATTTTTCTGACAGAATAATAATAATATTTTCACGCTTTTTGGATAAATTTGGTCAAATCCAGTTAATTTTTTATTTAATTTCATCACTAATCGCAATTCATATTTTATCTCAAACTTGCTCCTCACATTTGTTTTCTTGGTAATCAATTTTCTACCAAAAGTCAATAAATTTTTTTTTATTAAAAAAAAAATTGAAATTATGCTACAACTGAGGTACATTCACAATTTGTGTAATGCTTTTTTTAACAATGTTTTTTAAAATAAATATTTAGATATTGAATTGGGTTATTTTTACTTTTCTCTTTTGGTTTATAATAGCATAGTTTTTAAAAATAATTATAATTGTTTAATAATAATAATAATAATTGTTTGTTTTTATTTGATACTTACAATTATTTCTAATTTAGTTATAATTAATTAATTTTGCTAAATAATTAGTTAATAAAAAAATACCATCAGTCCCTCGGGCATAAAAGAGGTTTAGTTGTAGAAACAGAACACACCTTTTACTCATGATGTAGATCCATTTTGTTTCTTCATTTTCACTTTAAGTCCCCTTGAGTGTATTTGACACTCTTGAAGGCTCAGCTCTTTAGAGAACAAATGTCCACATTGTGTCCTGACACTCCTGAGCAGTTTTCTTCTTCTCCTCCTCCTCTCTCCTTTCCTGCTTCACTTATTGCTTTTACTGGTTTTTACTGCTTACAGAAATCGCTGAATTATTATTTTATATGTGTGTTTAGTGGGCCAGCAACATTGGAACCAGACTTATAAACACGCTTGCTTCAATAATCAGTCTGTCCGGTGAAGGGGCTTATTACTAAACTTGCCGCAGGGAAGTACGTGTGTGTGGGAACCAACATGATGGGGGAACGGGAGAGCGAGATCGCAGAGTTGACCGTTCTCGGTACGTTTTCGATATATTTCTGCTTTAATATATGTATTTCGATATTCTCAGATACTCCGGCACATGATCTGCCTTCTTTACGACGCACATGTGTTTATATAATCAGGTTCCCACACAAACCTCTGGTGCATTCGATTGTGGAAATGCATGCAGACGGATTCATTTAAACACGCACACGTCGTATGAAGTGTTTGTTTATGGGCAGAGCAGGAGAGAGTCCAGATGTTTAGAGTTTGTGTACTTAGCTGTAGGAAGACTCCAGCGTGTCATTGACCCTGTTTAGGAGACGTGGACCCATTATTCTCAGTTTGTCGTGAAACAAATACCAGCTCACACTTCACACACCCCTTCATTCACACATACACCCAAAAATATACATTCATCTGTCATCCAACACCTTAACATATCAGTTTACACTACCCAACATCAGAGCTGTGACCTTTGACCTTCCCTCCTTAATCCGTGCAACACAGCCGTCCTCATCTCTATCACTGTCAACCTCATTATTCAATGTCTGCTGGCATATTTACACATTACAGGAGAAAGTCACCAACCATATTAAGTCAAGTTGAGTTTAAGTAAAATGTAATTCCTCTGAAAACAATTACAGAAATCTCAGCTGATTTAAGTTGAAATGTGTCACACAATCAGTCTCAGACTCACACAATGCTTAAAAATAAGAACTGTTTTCTAACAGATTTTGAATACCTTCTGCCATTGGTCATTCAAACAGATAGTCCCGCCCCCAACTCAAGTCATTGGTTGAGCCATTGCTGATATGATAATACATTTCTGAATCTGTATTAAGATGGAAGAAACTTATTTTTAAGTTATTATTTTTATTTTTGGCATTTTTAACCTAAACATATTTAGATCAATTAGTTGCCATGGCAACATTTGTCTTTTTATTTATTTATTTATTTATTTATTTTTTTAAAATTATTTTATTAAGTGTTTAATCAAATTTCTTTTTCATTTATCGAACATTTTTATCAAATAGTTTTAGTTAACAATAACACTGATAGCAGTAGTAGCTAGCCCACATGTTATATGCGAATTAATATAAATGGAAAGTGTAATAAACAACATGGACTAAAAAAAATCATTGGGTACAAGTGATCAATAAACATGAATTAACTGCTGTGATACAGTAAATGTGCCTTTAAAGGCACTGTAGGGCTGTTTCCTCATATCAGTGGGTTAGATGATCTTAATCTTAACAGATTAGCCATATCCTAATATCATAGTTATGTAATCTTAATAAATCAATCAGAGCTTTCTTTAGGATTAGCTGCACGAACCTTTAGGATAAAACAACAAGTCAGAGTTCAAGTTGAAGCAAGAACAAACGGTGAATTGTTTGTTTGAGGAAATCCACTAAAAGTAGCTGTTATGAAGAAGAAAGACAAGAATGAGTAAAAATAGATGGATAGATATAGTTCACTGTAAGTTCATAAGTAGCCAATCAGATCAGAGAAGGGAATATCTCATAGGGAAGACTGGGAAACGTGTATTACATAATAAGCTGCGTGTTTGTGTGCAGAGAGGCCCAGTTTCTTACGAAAGCCGAGCAGTCAGTCTGTTCTGGTGGACCAGAGTGTGGAGTTCAGATGTGAGGCTCAAGGGGATCCCGTGCCCACCATCCGCTGGAGGAAAGAGGACGGAGATCTTCCCAAGGTAAGTTATGAGTGATAAAGCATCTGGTTAGTTTATATTAAGAACAATAAAATATGAATGGGAAATGCCCAGAAAGAAATAATAATTTCTGTTCTTTAGAGTCGGAACCTCTTGCATGTGTATTTGTTTGTGTACCATCATCTTCTCAGGCATGAGATCTGGGAGGACCACACGCTCAAACTGAAGAGACTGACTTCAGGAGACGCCGGTACTTACACCTGTCAGGCGGAGAACATGATGGGGAAGACGGAGGCCAGCGCCACCCTCACCGTCCACGGTAAGAACACACAAGCACACGCTGTCACTCATCTCACGCTGCTTGACAAACTGCTTTGATCCTGCCAGCACTTATCTATAATTTGAAGTAACGAATGCCCTCAGTGGGCGGGAGATTGTGTGTGTGCTTTGACCAGCTTATTCACAGCTGTTAGTTTTTAGACGAACGTTTGCTGCTTTGACAGCTTGTCAGGTTGCTTTGTCCGACTGGATGCTTGATCATTTTGAATATTCCTTATCATTTTTTCCTAGCTGTTTGGAAAAAAAACATGTAGGGCTATATATATATATTTTTTTTTTTTCAAACAGTTAGGAAAAAATATATTTAAAAAATATATATTTCTGTATCTTGTGAGTGGCACGGGATGATTTCTGTAATTTTTCTGACAGAATAATAATAATATTTTCACGCTTTTTGGATAAATTTGGTCAAATCCAGTTAATTTTTTATTTAATTTCATCACTAATCGCAATTCATATTTTATCTCAAACTTGCTCCTCACATTTGTTTTCTTGGTAATCAATTTTCTACCAAAAGTCAATAAATTTTTTTTTATTAAAAAAAAAATTGAAATTATGCTACAACTGAGGTACATTCACAATTTGTGTAATGCTTTTTTTAACAATGTTTTTTAAAATAAATATTTAGATATTGAATTGGGTTATGTTTACTTTTCTCTTTTGGTTTATAATAGCATAGTTTTTAAAAATAATTATAATTGTTTAATAATAATAATAATAATTGTTTGTTTTTATTTGATACTTACAATTATTTCTAATTTAGTTATAATTAATTAATTTTGCTAAATAATTAGTTAATAAAAAAATACCATCAGTCCCTCGGGCATAAAAGAGGTTTAGTTGTAGAAACAGAACACACCTTTTACTCATGATGTAGATCCATTTTGTTTCTTCATTTTCACTTTAAGTCCCCTTGAGTGTATTTGACACTCTTGAAGGCTCAGCTCTTTAGAGAACAAATGTCCACATTGTGTCCTGACACTCCTGAGCAGTTTTCTTCTTCTCCTCCTCCTCTCTCCTTTCCTGCTTCACTTATTGCTTTTACTGGTTTTTACTGCTTACAGAAATCGCTGAATTATTATTTTATATGTGTGTTTAGTGGGCCAGCAACATTGGAACCAGACTTATAAACACGCTTGCTTCAATAATCAGTCTGTCCGGTGAAGGGGCTTATTACTAAACTTGCCTTTGGCACAGCATTGCTTTTCAGATGCCAAGGAATGAGATTCCTCAACCATTTCAAAACGATGACTTCTATTAGAGAATGTCTTTTGTCTGGTTGCTGTTTTGTGGGAATAGCATGGGCTCTGCTTCAAAACCTAGTGAGCTGCCTACCTAGACCGAGTGTTTGAGCATTGTAGGTGCATTTGAGCAGTCAAACGATTCAACAAATGATTCATTAAATGATTTGTCAATTCAAGATTTTTTAAAACTGTCTAGGTGTGCAGCGCACTAGAATCTGAGACTCAGTCAAATACACACAAGCACACACAATCTCTGAGATAAGTCATTTCAAATAAGTGAGTCAGTTCTCTGTTAAAAAGCCATGGAAAGATAATGTTGGATACAAACGAGGCTTCTCTCAGCTGGCGATTTAGTCATTAGTGATGTATTTGAGGAAAGTGCTAGAATGCCATGCGAGTCCCAGGAGTAGCTGCGCTAATGGGCCATGGAAACCAAGTAGAGAGTGAGAGCCGCAACCACTGCCAAAAGAGCAAACGGCCTGTCCAAGTCGAGTTCTCTTTACCCAGCTGTTCTCAAATACACCGCTTTCCCTCATTTCTCACCCTTCATTTGTGTCTATCTCATAGGATCGACTCCAAATGGCCCAAGTTATTACATTTAAAGTTAAATTTGGCCTATTTACTGAGCTTGCTTAACAAATGTTCTTGGTTTCATTGTGCGTGATTTCTGTATTCTAACGAAACTTCTTTTGCATAATCTTTCAACAAAATTTAATTCCCACCCAACTTTATTCAAACTGAATAGTAGGTTGAATTTGGAAATATGTCACTTTACAGACATTAAATGCTTTGTGAATGCCATTTCGTGTTGTTTTCAACTTTTTAAAACTGTGTAGGCTACTGGAGAGTGTAGATTTTTGCACAAAAAGAGAGTTTTGAGTTGCAAAAAAATTGGAAAACATTAGAATCCAATATTCAGACAAACAGGTAGCCATGCCCCCTAAAATCATGCCATTGGTTGAGCCAGTGTGTTGTTATTAGTGCTGTCAAACGATTAATCACATCCAAAATAAAAGTTTTTGTTTACATAATATATGTGTGTGTACTGTGTATATATTTATTATGTTTATATAAATACACACACATGCATGTTTATATTTAAGAAAAACATTTTGTTTATATATAAAATATTGATATTTATATATAATATAAACATATATATACATGTAAATATTTTAAATATATATACATGTATGTTTTAGGCTTGCCGCGATAGACGGTGTTAAGCCGCAACACCTGTTACGTCACTTGCCCACCGCGTCACTGACCCCCACCGTCGTTTCGATTTTTTATAGCGGTATTTGAAAGTGAAAGTAAAATGCGCACACCGCTTTTACAAGCTATTTAAAAGCGAAGGAAAGCGAGGAAAAGAGGGAACGCCCCCACCCCCGCGGTGATACCAGTATTACCGGTGTTGTCACACGTCGATTAACCGGTGGGAAAATTTCCTCACCGTCACAACCCTAGTATGTTTATGTATTTATATATACATAATAAATATACACACTACACACGCATATATTATATAAACAAAAACTTTTATTTTTGTTGCGATTAAACGCGATTAATCGTTTAAAAGCACTAGTTGTTATGTGAAAAAAAAGGGGAAAAAAAGAAGAAAAAAAATTACACACTGCAGCTTTTAAAGGGCCAGACCCCAGGTTACATTGTCCACCTAATAAAATCTTTCGCCAGACCAGAAGAATAAAACCTCCATTCATACCTCACGCTCACAACTCAAGACTGATAGAATTGTTCCTTTGTGTGGTTTATGCCATATATTTCAGCCTCATGATATATTTACAACATGTGTGTGCTTGCCACACCTTATGTTCTGTGTATGTTTTTGTGTTTTATTCTCATAAATACATCACTGCACTGATTTTGTTCAGTAAGCATATCCTGTCATTTTTGCTTCATGTCGTGTGCGGTTTATTTGCGCATCTATCACATCTGTTTTATCATGCTTCTATTTTTTGTTCTTTCCTCTTTCAGTTGTGTCTGGTAAGTTGCAAATGTCACCCGTCACCATTTTTGCTGCATTGACAGCAACAGGAAGTTGTCAGAACCACCATCCATCCACCTTCCATCCTCCCACCAATCAGCACGCTTGTCTGGGTTGTCACCGGCAACAGTGACAGCACAGCAGGCCTGGGTAAAACTAATGCTCGTTCTGAGCGTGCAAGGTAACGTTAAAATCGCCTCATTTTATTCTCACTTAGTTGAAAGTTCTTCCTTTTTTCCTCTGGATGCATTACAGCGGTATATGATTTGACAGGTTTAAGATTGGTTTAGTGGTTAAAGGAAGTGCTGCCGGTGTATGTGGCGCTCGCCGTCGTAGGGGGTCATACTTTGTGTCACATATTATGAACATATTCATCCTTATTACAAGCTGAAATAGCTCTGTGCTGTTATGGACGCTGAAGTCGAGTTTGCATCAGAAATCAGCGCCTCTCCACCCCGAGACAGAGTTTGTCATTAAGATGCATGAAAAACCTGCATCCCACACGATGCAAGTGCCGTTAAAGAGTGTCAGTATGGGACAGATGGCCCAAATTTATCCCCCGTCTCCACGTAAATTTTATTGCTTTGTGCAAGGGCCCATGCAAATGAAGCAGACGTGGCACTCATACCATTTTGCATTGCGTCTACATCTGTTTTTATGTTTCGGCATACCTGCACCTCCGTCCATTAAACAGCAGTATGACGTTCTCTTTTATGGCCTGCCGTTAATGTGACACTGAAGGGTTGAGCTCCAGTGTATTTATTGTATTCGCAAGAAATTCGACTGATGTCAAAGACCTCCTGAAATCAAAATGAGAGATTTGTTAGACTTTCTCTTCTAGGACCAAAAATGTTTGTCAAATCCAGTGCTCTCTAGAATGAGAATGTCACAGCTGCATCTGTGACGTAAACGAAAGATTATTGACCCTACTAAAAATATTGTTTTAATAGAAAATATGTCAACACAGGAAAGAAAACTGTGCTGTTCAAGTCTTTTCATAGCATTGTTTAAAGACATTTTAAGATTGAAATGTTTTGCTACAAGCCATGAATAGAAAATAATTTTGATGAAATTGCATTTACAGTAATGCACTTACATTGGAAGTTTAATAATGTTATGTATGTACTGAGTGTGTGTGTGTGTGTGTATTAAGCAGCACAATAGTTTTCAAGATTGATAATAATAATTAAAAAAAATTGAGCAGCAAATCAGATTATTAGAATGATTTCTGCAGCATCATGTGACACTGAAGACTGGAGTAATGATGCTGAAAATTCAGCTTTGCCTTTATAGAAATAAATTAAATTTTTACATATATTGCAGAAGAAAATAGTTATTTTAAATGTATACATTTTATATACTATATACATAGAAGAGTAGTCCCACTGCAAGAAAAATGATTTCATAAATTACAAATAAATACTTTATAAATTAAAATCTGTTTACACTGTATTTAACGTCATGCGCCATAGACTTCCATTGTAAGTGCATTAATGTGAATGAGTTTTTGTTTGTTTTTACATGCCAAGGGTCAAAATTGCTGTCTTTGGTAATTGATTGATTTAACTCATATTCTTGCAGTTCCTCCTGTGTTTGTGGTGCGACCCAGGAATCAAGTGGTCGGTATGGGTCGCACCGTGACCTTTCAATGCGAAGCCACAGGAAGTCCTCAAGACTGGAGTAATGATGCTGAAAATTCAGCTTTGCCTTTATAGAAATAAATTAAATTTTTACATATATTGCAGAAGAAAATAGTTATTTTAAATGTATACATTTTATATACTATATACATAGAAGAGTAGTCCCACTGCAAGAAAAATGATTTCATAAATTACAAATAAATACTTTATAAATTAAAATCTGTTTACACTGTATTTAACGTCATGCGCCATAGACTTCCATTGTAAGTGCATTAATGTGAATGAGTTTTTGTTTGTTTTTACATGCCAAGGGTCAAAATTGCTGTCTTTGGTAATTGATTGATTTAACTCATATTCTTGCAGTTCCTCCTGTGTTTGTGGTGCGACCCAGGAATCAAGTGGTCGGTATGGGTCGCACCGTGACCTTTCAAGGACAAGCCAGAGAAGATCCTCAGCCTGCCATATTTTGGCAGAAAGAAGGCAGTCAGGTGAGAATGTTTGTGTTTTCACTTGTGATACGAAGATGCATTTCCTGAGCGCACTTTTACAGAAACATATAAAATGCATGGCACTCTTCCCCATTAAAGTCAGATTTATGAGGCTGGCAGATTTATAATTTACACACATCTAATGGGCTCTGTAACACTCCACACCTCTAACACACCTCAGGTCATCTTGGTTTGATCAATATCTCTCATCACACACTCAGGAATTCAGGCACACCGTGCCAATAGTAACTCTGAACGTGCAAGTCCTGACAAGGTGTTTATTTCTCACACACTGAATATTCTTGGAGTAATTAGTGTTTATGTTTTTATATATTTTTTTATCATATTCTACCTCTATTCATATATCTTTTTTCTCTTTCCCCTCTCCAGAACCTTCTGTTCTCTTCTCAACCTCCTCCACCTTCCAGTCGATTCTCTGTCTCTCAGACGGGCGATCTGACCATCACAGCAGTGGAGCGTTCAGACGGAGGCTACTACAGCTGTCAGGCTTTGAACATCGCTGGCAGTGTGATCACCAAAGCCCTGCTGGAGGTTACAGACGGTGAGACGGACGCACTCAGTACAGATGAGGCCTTAGTGAACGCAAAAGTGCTTATGTGCATTCATTTTTGCCACTCAGTTTATTTTATTAAATTTTATTTTATTTTATTTTATTTTATTTATTTTTTATGATGTTTTATTTTTTTATGAAATATTTTGTACTGATTGCAATATACTGTATTAATAGCTTAATTTTACACTGTAAATGCCTTACACGTTATATTACTGATGGATTTATTTGTAAAACCCATATGACCCGTTCCCAGATGGGCATTGTAAAGATAAAGAGTGAACTTTCTGCTGTTACTCATAGATTTCTGGTTTCATGTAGCCATGTCAAATGTTTTGACATTACAGCACAATGCAGTTCAGAGGTGTTTTTTTTGCCAGGATGCAACTAATTTTACTTTATCACATTTTAATATTGTAATATTCTTTTTTTGTAAGTATCATGAGTGATGTAAGTGATGAAGTCAGTCAGTACTGAACTCAGTAACTCCTCTGAACGATTCGCTGAGCGAAAAAGTCTGACTCGGCAGTGAGTTTGAGACTGTTTCATGAATCTTTTAGACTGAATCATTAAAAAGAACCGGTTCATAAGAGTCATTTTTTGGCTAAATAGACATCACAGCTCATGCTGTTCATACTTGCATGCGGGAAAATGTTGACACGCACTGTATAAAGGCAAAAAGCTGTTAAATATTTGTGGCTGGACGTAAAATTTTGGTTTAAAATTAACCATAGTTCCCATATTCAATGCAAATAACAATATTTTATAAGAAATACACACTTTACTCCAACACTGATTACTCCATATGTTCAAATAGTCAATATGACACTTCAACAGAATAGTGACGGTTCGGCAGTTCACTCTCATCCAACATAATCTCCTTTAAGTGCCATCTCTAAAAAAAAAAAAACACCAAAGCAAGACAGAGAATGAGAGTGAGGTAAAGAAAGAATAATAACAGTTATTTTAGCTCCAGTCTGCTCTATGGCCTCACTCTTACAGCGGGCACAGAGCGTAATTCCAGGTCACCGCCACGATGATTCAGTAATTACAACAGCGGTGATGCTAGGACACAACTATGTGTGCGCGAACATGTCATGTGATACATAATTCATCCCTTTGATGGTCCTTACAAAAGTGTTGTAGGGCTTTGAAAACGCGCTGTAGTGGCAGTTATGCAAATTGCAGCCGTATAAATGGCGGTAATGCTTCTAGCGATGTCGAACACAATCAGATGGACGTAAACATCGCTGCGTTCACTACAATTAGACGGCCCAGGTCTGCTGTTAGAGAGAAGAGGACACGGCAGGGGGGCGATTGTAATAGATGTGGGGCATTTCGGTGTTTTTTAGTGCGGTGATGATGGCCGGTGTGTGTGAGGGAGGTTTAGTGCTATTGAAATGCCGCCGGTATTAATTGCTCGTCTCTAGTTTGGCTTCGGGATTTTTTTCCCTATTGCCAAATATTTCGTTTTTCTTTAAGCATAAAACTCACTAATTTTGTCAGATTTCTGTGAAAACGAGACTTAATATCTCATTAATATTTCATATAATATCATATCTCATCTGGCAGTTTGCTTCTCAAGTGAATTGATTTTGTTTTAAGGATGTTTTGATGTTTCTTTTTTTTTTAAATAATTCATCTTTCCTTTTATTTCCAGGTTTTAACTAGATTTTGAATCCCATATTTACAGTGTGGTAAAATCCTTTGGGGCCTCACTGTAAATTAATAAAAAATACAGGTCTAAAGTATTAATGCAGTATAGCTATACTGGTAAAAAAAAAAATTTATTATAATTATTATTATAGAAACATAATTTAAAGGGGAAATTCTCTCTCTTTTTTTGCTTTTTTTATTAAAATAATTTTGCCAGATTTCTTCAAAAACAAGTCTTAATATCTCATTAATATTTCATATAATATCATATTTCATCTGGAAATTTGCTTCTCAAATAAATTAATTTAGTTTTAAGGATGTTTAGATGTTTTCATTGGGAAAACTAGACAATAATACTAATTTTGCAGTCATTTATTTTTAAAATAATACAATAATTTATTTAAAAAAATAATAATAATTATATA